GAACCCACCACCTTAGGTGTGTGTGGCTGGCGCCTTAGCTGCTTGAGCCACAGGCGCCGAGCCAAATTTTTTTTTTTTTTTTCTAACCTGTAGTTTTATGTTTCCAGAAGATAGTAGAAAATGAAGTTACCTTCCTTCTATTGGAAAATCTCAGTTCGGGCAAAATTCTGAAGTAGGTGGTTTGTTTTTGGCCTTTCTCTGTAAATAGCATCCCTACCCCCTTACTAGTATTCTTCCCCAGAGCAATCATACTTCAGTCTTCATTGATGCATCTTGGTCAGGCCTGCTGAATTCTTCTGAGTTCTCTAAGCCTCAGATATTCTTGCTTTCTCATCTCCAAATTTAACTTTTCACTCTCTCTGGGTGGCTGTTTTTAATTCATTTTAAGGGAAGTAAAGCTATCCTTATATAAACTTTATACAAATTTGTTAATGGCTGATACTCTCAGCCCTTGACTGAGAGTATCTTTGGAAAAGAGTTTTTTCTTTTCAAAAGAAAATGCTTATTAACTATAATGGAAATTTTCTTGAAATTTCAGATAGAGTATAAGTAAATAAAGTCAAAAATAGTTTAGTAAGGATAATTTTCAGTGGGATCAGGACACTTGTTAGGAAACTGGGAGTAAGTTTTTGGGATTCTTTTCTGTAAGGTGATTGCACTTTTCATAACTCCTTCCCAAGTTTCACTTCTGAATCTATTATATGGAATGTATTCTCAATGGCTACAAGGCCTATTTAGAGCTCTAAATTTGGGGTGGGTTTGAAGATCCTTCGATTGCTGGCAGGAGAGTTTTTTGTTTTGTTTTGTTTTTTTAGGAGAGCTTTTTATGTGCTAGGTACTCTTTCTAATTAAATTTCCACTAGGGGAAGTTGAAAACAAAAAGGAGCAAAGACTGAGTCTCACTGTGTTGCCCTTGGTAGAGTGTCATGGCATCACAGCTCACAGCAACCTCAAACTCTTGGGCTCAAGTGATTCTCTTGCCTCAGCCTCCCTAGTAGCTGAGACTATAGGCGCCCGCCACAACGCCTGGCTATTTTTGTGTGTTTGTTTGTTTAGCAGGCCTGGGCTGGGTTTAAACCCATGAGCCTCAGAGCATGTGACGGGTGCCCTAACCATTGAGCACAGGCACCCAGCCACGGGCAAAGACTTTCTAAAATATCTTTAATTTGTTTACTTGTCCCCTCCAAAAGTTAAAGCTTCCCTAATAAAGGAAGGTGGGAATTTTCTGTTTCATTGAGAGTTTATGTACTAATAATGGAGTATGGGCTTTGGAATCAATACTTGAGATTTGAGTCCTTAGTATATTTGTAATTTGGGGAAAGTTACTTAACATGCCTGAGTCCTAAATTAGAGCAAGTAACTGAGTCACAGGGTTGTTGAAAACGTTAAATAAAAAAGGCAAACCACTTTTAGCCTAGTGCCTTATTATGGTAAGTGCTCTATGAATAATAGTTTTGTAACTTCAAGCACTGTGCCTCAGCTTTTTTTTCTGTAAAATGGTGATGATAGAATGGTGATAATAGCTCCTAAATTGCAGAATAGTTGAGTGATTGTTAATAATTCTAGCCAATAACTATTAAGGATAGTAAGCATTCAGTAAACATTAAATTACTTTACAACTGACATTTCACAATCTTAGTTGATCTGTGATAATAGTGCTTATATTAAAAAATCAAAATAAGAAGCCAGGCATGGTGCCATGTGACTATAGTCCCAGCTACTCTGGAGGCTAAGAGAGGACAATGATGAGCTCAGCCTGGGCAACATAAACTGACATTTCACAATCTTAGTTGATCTATGATAATAGTGCTTATATTAAAAAATCAAAATAAGAAGCCAGGCATGGTGCCATGTGACTATAGTCCCAGCTACTCTGGAGGCTAAGAGAGGACAATGATGAGCTCAGCCAGGGCAACATAATGAGACCCTGTCTTTAAACAAAACAAAAAAGACCAGGTGCGGTGGCTCACACCTGTAATCTTAGCACTCTGGGAGGCTGAGGCAGGTGGATTGCTTGAGCTCACAAGTTCGAGACCAGCCTGAACAAAAGCAAGACCCTGTCTCTACTGAAAATAGAAAAACTGAGGCAAAGAATAGCTTGAGCCCAGGAGTTTGAGTTTTCTATGAGCTGTAATGCCATGGCATACTACCCAGAGCAACAGAAATAAAACAAATAATGATACAGGATTTTAAAAAAAAAAAAAACTCCCAAATGTAAAGATGCTTTCTTAATCTTGATGTCGTTGTGTTTAGATACTAAATATTTTAATATATTCAGCTTATTTTAGAAAATTAAACTTATTCAAACTGTATTCTTGAATGTTAGATATTAAGTTGTATTCCTAAAAATGTTTTAGTTTTAATAAACCCTCATAGGACTTTTTTTTTTTTTTTTGGTTAGATAGAATCTTACTTTGTCACCCTCAGTAGAGTGCCAGGGTATCATAACTCACAGCAACCTCAAAGTTTTGGGCTCAAGCGATTCTCTTGCCTCAGCCTCCCAAGTAGCTGGGACTACAGGTATCCACCACAATGCCTGACTATTTTTAGAGATGGCTTCTTGCTCTGGCTCAGGCTGGTCTCGAACTTGTGAACTTAGGCAGTCCACCAGCCTCAGAGTCCCAGAGTGGTAGGATGACAGGGATGAACCACTGTGCCTGGCCCCTCATAGGACTTTATTTGCAGTTGAATCTAACTTCGTAAAAGTTTTATCATTGAATAGTTCCTTTAATATTAGAAGTCACTCAATAAATAGTAGTTAAGTGAATTAAAAATGGAGACAATCAACTATTAGAAACATATGATCTTAGAACTAGATGGAGCCTTAGAGATCACCCACACCAGCTCCTTATTTTAGTTTTTTGAGACAGAGTCCCAAGCTGTCACCCTGGGTAGAATGCTGTCGTGTCATAGCTCACAGCAACCTCAGACTCTTGGGCTTAAGCAATTCTCGTGCCTCAGCCTCCCAAGTAGCTGGGACTACAGGTGCCCGCCACAATGCCAAGCTATATTTTGGTTGTAGTTGTCATTGTTTGTCAGGCCCAGGCTGGATTCAAACCCACCAGGTCTGGTGTACATG